ACTTATAGTTGCATAATAAAAAATCCCGATTTTCGACTAAGAAAAAATATCGTAGTATGCCCTGAAACTTTAATAAACATTTCAAATTTTGTGCCAAGGTAGACCTTTCAGTACTTGACATTTTAAAAAAAATTATTGAAATCGGTTCACAACTTCAAATTTTGGGGGGGGATGTTTCCATTAAAAATGGGTCACACTGTATGTAAATTGCAAAAGTACCTACTGAAATGAAGGTACCTATGATATTCTGAGCTGAATAATAAAAATTCAACAATTCCTTTAATAATTGATTTTCTACCCTTCATGCGTGTACTAATATAATCCTTGAATATTATCATATGATATTTTTATGGTCACAATGTAATAGAGTGTAATTTCGTGTAGAATTATTTATATTTATGAAGTATCGTAATAAATTTCACTTTATTACGATTTGGCATTCTATCTTGAAACGGAATTCAACATCTTCAAGTTGTTTGAAGGTGGGATAACCTTGTTCTTCATGAACCGAATACATTAATAACCTATCCCATTTAAACAACGTGACACGTTGTTAGATCATTACTTGGATGATAATGGTATTAACTAATATTTGAAACATTTCTGGAATGAATCGTAATCGAATTCAACTTTGAGATTAGGTAATGGAAGTGAGCCTTTCAATTGAGATGTTTATCGGATCGTAACACTAAGAGAATTGTTTGATCCGAACTAGTTGAGATCGATAGACCCGATTCGTTTGATTGGCATGTCAACTTATTACATAATTTTTGGATATGGTGAAACATCAGTGCTTGCGTTTTCGAAGTATTTAAAAACAAACAATTTGCTGACAACTATTCATTCAAAGAAGTCAACACCTCATTGCATTTATCACGCAAGAAAGATTCCATTTTTACACGCTTCATATAAGCTTTACTTGTATGTATGTATGTATGTTTGTTTGTAACTCTCAAGCTCGAGATCTGTATTTACAGAATTATTGCTTGATCTATTCGCGGGCAGATGGCGCTATACGTAACTATCAATTATTGCTAGATCTGTTTGCAGGCAGATGTACGTAACTATCAATTATTGCTTGACCTATTCGCGGACAGATGCCGCTATACGTAAACCTCCTTGTTCAAAAGAAAATCAAAATAAAAAACATATTTTGAGAATTATAAGTGTTAGCGAAATTTTGTACTACAGATGAAATATTTAAATATTTACAATTACCCGTGATTCAGTACAGAATAAAGTTTTGAACGAAACGGAGGACACATTTTGAAATTTAATTAGATTTTTTGAAAGCGAACCAGAATATGGATTTCAACAATGAAAATTATTACTGCAAATTTTCTCTTTACTTCGAAACAAACTTTACAACTGTCCACCCTCTGTTGGAGACTTACTGCATCTCAGTATTACTATAGAATTTAAGACCTCAAAATTTATTATGTTGTTTGAGAGGAATTTTATATTCGTGCGCCGTCTGTTAAAGATTTATAATACTAGTGACTAGAACTTAAAAAAAATATTTTTGGCAATAAATCGGACTAAAAAGTAAAAAATAAATATAGTTTAAAAAAAAAACAAAAAAAGACGGTTTTAAAGAACATCGAACTAAAAAGTAACAAATATTAAATATTTTTTTTAAATAATCTTGAAACAATAACGAACGAAAAATACTTGTATTATTGTGAAAAAAGCCTGGGCTCTTTGTGCTATATTTTTGTATATCAGGCGCTCGTCGCTTTTTTCACAAAAATACTAATATTTTTCGTTCGTTATTGTTTTAAGCTTATTTAAAAAAATATTTTAAACTTTTTAGTTCGATGTTTTTTAAAAGCGTGTTTTTTAGTTTTTTAAACTATATTTATCCAAATCATTAATATAGAATAGAAACAGAATTGGCCCCAACATGGACCCCTGAGGGACACCAATGTCTGTCTCAGTTTGCAGTGAGAAATAATTTTTGATTGCCACATATTGTGTACGTTTGTGTGTAAATGATTTTATACAATCCAGAGGACAGCCTCTAACTCCACGCTTATACAGCTTTTCTAGTAGTATGTCGTGATTGACCCATTCAGCAATGATTTCAAAGCGAAGTTGGTTGTTAATAAATCTGAATTAGTTGAAACAGAATGAATCAGCATTACCTATTCGAAGTACATAATCAACCTTTTTTTCCATACAGACCTGTATTGTAATACATTTTGAATTTATTAATACAGCTACAAGAGTCGATGAAAAAAATACAGCTGATGATGGAATTTGATGAAAGAAACGTCGCATTATATATTCGTCTATATCAGATTGTTCATCTATTTATTTCATACACTATTATACAGTATGAACCCAATTACAGAATAGGGAGATACAGTGGCATTTAAAAATATGAACTTACATAATATCATTTGTGAATCTATATGGAAAAAATTGAAAACAGAACTGTCAGTTAGCTGAGAAATGTCTTTTGATTTGTATAATCTGACAGTTGAATATATCTAGGAAATGCCTAACAGAATTAGAGGTATCGCACAGTGTATAGATTGGAGATTTTTTCTTTGTTTGTACGCAGAGTGTTGAGATAAAATGTGACACAATTCCTAGACTACCGTCTAGGAATCCAAGAATTCAACATATGTAACAATTGAGAGCAGGTAATGATATTGTTCATGACCTTGAATTTAAAAAATTGAATCATATTCACGCCTTACCTCGAAACTACAAAAATTGTGAGTTTCAAGCAATTCCTAATAGGGTATTTCTTCAAGTTTAAAAGACATATATTTCAGGAAGCCCCTCTGTAGGGCTTCTAGTTGATTTATATCAGGGGTTTCCAAACTTTGAAGCCTTCGGGCCATAATGTTTTTTTCAGTTTGTTCCGAGGGCCAATTTCTGCCCTTAACTATATTTTTGGACTAGGATAGTCACAAAGTGCGTGACCTAAGCAAACTTGCGCTTTTTTTGCATTTCAATTATTATTGTGTATTGTGACACTTATCGACATCTAGTGGCGAGTAGTGGTACTGTGTACCACTACTTTTTCAACTACCCGCTAGGTGGCATTGGGCGTAATTAAATATTTGAAATTACTGCGTTGGTTCGAGAAAGTTCTGGTTCTAGCTAGTGTATTCCGATCACCTCGAGATGGCAGTAATAATTGCATATAAAAAGGCTAGCGAAACTCACAACGCCTTGACTTCACTGCACAACAAAAAAACTTCACCAAACAACAACCAATAAAAAAAGCAATTAATACGTCATAGTGGTGGGGGGAGGCCGAGAATCAGCTGTAAACAACTACTGAAGTGTATGGAGAACTTCTTGATATTGATAGTATTCACGGCACGACAACTGAGGCAGA